TATCTATCTATCTATCTATCTATCTATCTATCTATCTATCTATCTATCTATCTATCATCTATTATCTATCTATCATCAATCAATCTATCTATCTATCTATCTATCTATCTATCTATCTAGAGGTAAGGTTTCTTAGTGTAGCCCTGGCTGTAGTAGTCCAGGATCTGTAGACCAAGCTTGTGACCTTGAGCTCAGAGATCCCACCCATCTCTGCCTCCAGAGTGCTGGAATTAATAGTGTATGCCGCTGAGATGTAGGTTTTATTTAGTAGAGGACTCATCACGTTCTGCCAGTTGCCCACAAATGCCAGCATAAAAGGAACAAGTGGAGGTTAAGAATTCTTTACCCAAAAGCTGGGTGTGGTAGCACCTAGCTGTAATTCTAGCTTTTAAAGGTATAGATAGGAGAATCAGGAGTTCAGGGCCAGCCTCAGTTACATGGTTCAAAGTTAGCTTAGGCTCCATAAGACCTTTCTCAAAGAAGAAACACTTTTCCTTCCACATCAGCTTAGACAGAGGCATAGTGGGTTTCAGGTATCAATTTTCATTGATTGTTTTAGTTAGGGTTATTATTGCTATGACGAAGCACCATGATCAAAAACAGGTTGGGGTCTTAGAATTTGGGAGGAAAAAAGAAAGAAAAATAAAAACAGGTGGGGGAGGAAAGGGTTTATTTGGCTTACATTTCCACATCACTGGAGGAAGTCAGGACAGGAACTCAAGCAGGACAGGAACCTGGAGGCAGGAACTGATGCAGAGGCCATGGAGGGATGCTGCTTACTGTCTTGCTTCCCATGACTTGCTCAGCCTGATCAATCACTAAGAAAATGCCCTTTAGGCTTGCCTACAGCCCACCTTATGGGGACATTTTCAAAATCAAAGTTCCCTAGTCTTAGATGACTGTGGCTTGTGTCAAGTTGACATAAAACTAGCCAGTTCATTGATCTTTCCCAAGTTTGACACTTGTGAGTTTGTGTGAAGGTCAACAGGAGCCACCAGTGTAGTTGCAGAGCCTGAGCCAAGCATGGTCTGTCCCTGCTAGGTCATCCCATCTTAGCATCTGCTCTGTGGTCAGCCTAGACATGGTCCCATGGAACCACTAGGCAGATACTACCTCATGGTGCCACTTCTCTCCCAGGTCTCCATAGGACATCTGTGTTCGATCGTCTTGGTGCTGAGACCAAAGCAGACACTACGACAGGGACTAAGGTGAGTCTGGTGTGCTGGGATGACTCACGTGACCCAGTGTCGGTCCTGTCAGTGTGCTGCTTGACTCCGCGTCTGTGTCCCAGGTGTCTGCATTCTCTTCCCACGTTTGAACCCACGTTTTCTCTTTGGCTGTGGTGGACTTCCTGATTGCCCGCCCTGTCTCTCCTCAGCTGATCTGTAGGCCAGCCCCAGTACGTTTGGCTGCTAGATTTCTTCCTTCCACCCCCAGGTTCCAGCTAGTCTCAGGATCTTCTATTGTAGCAACTTCTATCTGAGCTTCCAACTCAGGGTGCCTGCCATCTGCATCCAGTCAGCTGAATGCATTCCAAGTCAGATGGCCTCATCTGTCCATCTCTGCCATCTCGGCCTGCATAGGTGGATAGGGTCCCACACTACTGCTATTAGCCCCTGTAGCCCTGTCCTCACAGTTATAGCCATGCTGCCATACGAAGAGGGAGTTTTCCTCTTTCGTGAGTCTCATATAGCTCAGGGTGGTCTGACACTGTGTAGCCAAGAATGACTTTGAACTCCTGCCTCTGCTTCCCAAGAGCTCAAATGACAGGCATGTGCTGCCACACCTAGCTTCTTTAAGACTGGATGTTTTTAGTTAGTCTCTCTCCTGTAGCCCAGGGTGGGCTAGAACTCATGATCATTCTCTTTCAGCTTCACGAATACTGAGATGACAGACTAGCACCTGTTCTTCCAAGGTGTTTGTTTGTTGGTTTCTCTTGAGACAGAGTTTCTCTGTAGCTTTGGAGCCTGTCTTGGAACTAGCTCTTGTAGACCAGGCTGGCCTCAAACTCACAGAGTTTGCCTCTGCTTGCTGAGTGCTGGGATTAAAGGCGTATGCCACCACCGCCTGGGTGTTTTTGTTTTTTAACTGCCTACAACGCAACAAAGTCTATTCTTATTGCTGTAACCAGCAGTTCCCTAGGCTCTGGGAATGGTGTGTGGTTAAGAGAATACCCTAGAGCTCACTCTGACTGGGTGTATGGCCTTGGCCTTGTCATTTTAGCCATTTGTACCTCAGTTCCTGAATCTATAGTGTCAGTTCATAGGGTGGCTGTGGGTGTCAGCAGGGGCTGGGACGCAGGACATGGCAAACGCTCCTTAGGTATCAGAGTGGATGCTATGGCTTTCACTGAGTCTCATGCTCACCAGTGTAGAACTCCCTGTCTCTGCCCTCTGTCTTTTACCTCCCAGAATCTTCCCATGATGGTGATGGTAACACAGGCCCATAGGACTGGAGGTCTAGCCATTTGAGGCTTTAGTGAGTGCTCAGGAAGTGTGATTGTCACTTCTGCCTTAGGAACCGAGTGCATACTTTTTGCTCTGCTCGCTCATCTTGAAGGGCCTGCAATTCCTGGCATCTCTGAGAAGACCAGATTGTGCCTGACTTGCAGCATGCTACTCCCCTTCAAATGCTGGCAGTGACAGCCCACATCCGTCATCCCAGCACTCAGGAGACTGAGGCAGGGGGATCTCAAGTTTGGGACCGTGGGCTATGTAATAACACCTGTCACAAAAAGTAAAGAAAAAGAAAATTCATGACGACATGCTGTTCTTCATAGCACGTGACTGACTGTTGAACTTGTAGTTAGTGGAGTCATTTCTGATGCTGCCTACTCTATTGCACTATGACTCCAGGAGGGTCTGGCCAGGGTTGTCCTGACCAGCACAGTATCCTCAACACTGTTCAACTTAGGCCAAGGTACAGTGTCTGCTAAGTAAATGACCATGTAAGGGGCTGGGGTGTGGTTCAGTGACAGAGTCTGTCCCAGCTATGTCTAAGGCCCTGAATTCTATCTGAGGCGTGACACAATCAGCAGCAAAAATGACTGGAGAATGTTCCCAGTGCTCACCTGCCCTTGGCAGCGCCCTCCTGTTTCTCCCTGTCTTTACTGAGTCCCTGCCATTCAGCTTTCAGAGCTCCAGTGGTCTGTGCTCTTTCCCGAGAAACCTTCCTAAACCCCCTGGCATAGTCAGGTGTTCCCTGGGCTTCCTAGCTTCTGGTCCCCTCATGACACTCACCCTCAAATAGGATGGCACTGACCTGCCCGCCGACATCTTAGAGGCCAGCGTAGAGTAGGCAGCCCGCCGAGTGACTAAATGGCCCACTGCCTCTCCTCTCACTCTACAGCCCACAGGAGTTTTCAGCCGCTTAGGGGCCACCCCGGAGATGGATGAGGATTTGACCTGGGACAGTGACAATGACAGCAGCAGCTCTGTCCTGCAATATGCTGGGGTCCTAAAGAAGCTAGGACGGGGCCCCAGCAAGGCCAGTCCCCAGCCAGCACTGACTGTCAAAGCCAAAGCCACAAGCTCTGCAACCACAACAGCTCCAAGACTGCGGCGCCTGGCGCTTCCCTCTCGTCCTGGACCAGAGAAGAAGCCGGAGTCCCTGCCCAAAGTCAGTGTCCTTCAGAGACTGGGCAAGACTGCTGTTGTGGCTGAGGCCCAGGACAGCCAGGTTACAAGCACCAAGAGTAAGTCCTCAGCTGAGGTCAAGTTTGCCATTAAGAGGACATTGGTAGGGCCCCGGGGGAGCAGCTCTATTGAGAGCCTTGGTGCCCAGATGGACCATGCAGGCGCTGTGAGCGTTTTCAAAAGACTGGGCCGAAGGACCTTCTAGCTGGCACACAGGGTGGGATGCAGCATGCAATGGCAGGCAGGTTCCTGCTTCTGTCTCCCTTCCAGCCTTTCTCGAGGGCTCACCTGTCCTCCCTCCCAGCTCTAGATGGCACAAAGCTTGGCTCTTTCCAGCATTCATGCTGGTTCCAAGCACTTGGGTACACAGGCATTTCCCGTGGTTTTGGATGTTCCTGTGGCCTGACCTTGCCTGCTCTGGGACCCTCCCTTTCTACCCTCTCCTCTGTGTACTAGCCGTGGCCTTGGCAGATTCTCCTTTTCTACCTCTCCCCAAAGCCAAGTGCCCTGCCCGTTCCATGCAGCCCACCCCCACCAGCAGCATCTGCTGCCTTATGTCCTCCTGTCCTGGCTGCCCCACCACAGAGGTGTCACCTGGAGGCACCCCCTTTGCCCTACCCTGTGACTCCCCTCCCTCCCCTCCCCCCTGCTGTAGTGTCTCTCTTCTCTTCACTCTTTTCATTTCTCTTCTGTTTTCTGTCCCTGTGGCAAGGCCCGACCGTCCGCTGTATCCTGCCTGACCCTCCTGCACCTCTGACCTCCCAGCGGCCCCCTCGTCGACGGTGGCGTCGAACCTGTAAAGACTGTTAGCTGCCTTCCATTCCCAGGCTGGAGGGAGCCCCCCCCCCCATCCTGGCCTGCAGCTGGGGCACCTCTGTTTCCCTGCCCTGGCCGTCTTTTTCCTTGGTGGGTGGTGGGCAACAGACACTGAGGAGGGGAGGGGTCCTGGGGGAAGGTGACGGCTGTTTTAATATATTTTTGTGACTTCTAAACTGTCCTTCCCTCTCCATCAGTGGGAGTCTCGGGTCTGTTCTTCACACCGACAACAGCCAACACCCTGGGGTGGTGGGACTGGTGAAGGGCATAATGGTGACAGAACACTGTGAAGCCATCTCCTCCCATCCAAGCGGAGCGGTCTATCACTGTGGCCTCTCTTGTTGATTCCACCTGTTCTGCCACACTGTCTGTGGGTGGCTTGGTTTTATTTTGAGATAGGATCTCATTATATAGCCCTGGCTTACCTAGAACTTGCTATGTAGATCAGATTGGCCTCAAATTCTCAAGGGACCTGCCTGTCTGCAAGTGCTGGGATTAAAGGCTTTTGCCCTCATACCCAGCTGGCTTTCTTTCCTTTTTCTTTCTTTTTTCTTTGAAACTCAAAATGGCCCAAACTTGATATATAGTTGAAGAAGACTTGGAATGTCTCTCTTTAAAAAAAAATATTTTGTATATATAGATCTTTTGCCTCTGTGTATGTATCAGGCACCTGAGTGCCTGATGATTCCCATGAAGACTGGAAGAAGATTTTTGATCCCCTGGAACTGGAGTTACGGATGGTTGTGAACCCCTGTGTGGGCCCTGGAAACCAAACTTAAGTCCCCTGTAATAGCAACAAATACTCTTAACCACTGAGCCATGTCTTCTACCCCTACTCTGAGTTTCTGATTTTCTCATCTCTACCTTGAGACTTGTGACAGCATAGGCTACCATTCCAGGGGTTTGTGTGGTGCAGGAGACTGGGCCCAGGTTTTACATTAATACTCTGTTGGCCTTTTTCTCTCTCCTTTTTTTTTTTGAGACAGTGTGTTACTGTGTAGCACAGGTTGACTTCAAACTCAGGATTCCCTTGCCTCTACCTCTGGACTGAGACAGTTTACAGGCACAGGCCAACTACTAACAGCCTCTCAGCTGTCCTGAGATAGTGCTGCCCAAAGAAACAGGGCCGAGGGGTGAGGGTTGGCCAGTACCACTGTCGTTGTATTGTCAGAAGATTTTGATGTGACACCATTGGGTGAACTGGGGATAAGAAGTGGTAATTTTTCAAACTTCAGAAGAACATTCTGACAGAAAGATAGACATAGACAAAGGCCCTGAGGTGGGGGCAATGACCAGGAAGATGAGAACGGCATGGCTGCTATTGGCAGCGATGGAGAACGAATGGGAAGTACAGGGTGGGGAACAGTTCTAATTAACTGTGTAGAGGCGCCTGGTATAGTGGGTATGTGTATAATTCCAGCTTCCAGAAGACTGAGGCTTGAGGATAGTCTCCCACCAAGTGGTGGTGGGTGTATCTCTGTGAGTTCAAGGCCAGCCTCATCTACAGAGCAATATCTAGGACAGCCAGGACTACAAAGTGAAACCCTATCTTGAAAAACCAAAAAGAAAGATACAGTCCTCTCTCATACATTATATACAAACTGAAGTTTCCCCTCCTTCTACTCTTCCCAGTTCCCCCAACTCACCTCTCTTCTCCCCTAGGTCCACTCCTCTGTTTTCCTTCAAAAACAAGGATAGGCCTTCCAGGGATATTACACCAAACATGGTATAACAAATCATAATAAGACAAACCCTCTCAAGGCTGGACAAGGCAACCCAGTAGGCGGGAAAGGCACCAAACATGGTATAACAAATCACAATAAGACAAACTCTCTCAAGGCTGGACAAGGCAACCCAGTAGGCAGGAAAGGGTCATAGGCAACAGAGACAGCCCCCCCCCCATTCCCACTGTTGAAAGTCCCACAAGAACACCAAGCTACACAGCCGTAACATATGCAGAGGACCCAGTTCAGACCTATTACAGGATCTGTGATTGTTGCTTCAGTCTCTGTGAGCCCTTACAAACCCTGCTTAGTTGATTCTGTGGACTGTGTTCTCATGGTGTACTCAATCCAACCTCTCTGGCTCCTACAATCCTTCCTCCTTTACTTTGGGGGTTCCCCTGCCTAGTGTTTGGCTGTGGGTCTCTGCATCTGCTCCCATCAGCTGCCAGAGGAAGCCTCTCTGATGACTATTGGGTAGGCACCAATCTATTAATACAGCAGAATATCATTAGGGATTATTTAATTGCCTTTTTTTTTTTTTCCAGTCATGTTTGATTCTATCCTGGATCTCTGGGCTATCCAGCCTCCTGGTCCTGCATCTAGCTTGAACCAGGTGTGGGCTCCAGAGGGAACTTTTCTGTTTATTTTTCTTCTAATGCTGGGGATCAAATCTAGTGTCTTGCACATGCTAACAACGCTAGCAAGTATACCAGCTGTCAGTTTTTAAATATCTCCTTTTAAATCCTTTATGGCCGGGTGGTGGCACACACCTTTAATCCCAGCACTCGGGAGGCAGAGGCAAGCGGATCTCTGTAAATTCGGGGCCAGTCTGGTCTACAAGAGCTAGTACCAGGACAGCTGGTACTGTCACACAGAGAAACCCTGTCACAAAAAAAAAAAACACAAATAAAACAAAAAATCCTTTTTTATTTAAATTTTCTAGCACATACTTTTTTAACATAATTTTTTATTGAGTCTTTGGGAATTTCATATCATGCACCCCAATCCCACTCATTTCCTAGTCCTTGCATACCTGCCCTCTACCCTTGTAACCTCCCAAAACAAAATCAGAAATAAAAATTAGAAAACAAAAGGAAAAACATACAATCATCTCACAGACCCTGTCACTGAGCCTTCTACGCCTGTCTCCTCCTGCCCTCACAGACTTGCCCGATGTCATTGTGGTGGCATCTGAAGTGGGGTGTGTCACACAGGCATACTGTGTTTCACCAAGCTGTCCTGGGTGGCCGAGGGAGGCTGACCTTGAGACTGAGCCTCCTCTGCCCCCCACCCTCTAGGACTTAGACTACGTGCTGGGATTCTAGGCAGGAGCCACCGCTTCTCATTAAGTGGTTTTCATTTGGAGGTTGTGGGTTTTCTCTTTTATTTTTGTTGTCCCACCACCATGTGTCTAGGTGGGGGGTGTCAAGTCAAAGGACAACTGTGTCACGTGCTGGAGTCCGTGTTGTGGTCCTCACACCCGCTGAGCCACTTTCTTACCAGTTCTTTAAACAAGATTTTATTTTTAAATTATGTATACATGTGTGGGATTGCTTATTACATGAATGTACTGTCTGCAGATGCCAAAAGAGGGTATCAGGTCCCTTGGAGCTACAGTTACAGGCAGTTGTGAGCCACCTGATGTGGGTGCTGGATCCTCTGCAAAAAATACTCTTACCCACTGAGCCATCTCTCTAGTCCCTCTTTCTGGTTTCCTGATTTTTCAAGATAGGATTCCTTTGTGTAGTTCTGGCTGTCCTGGAACTCCCTCTGTAGACCAGGCTGGCCACGATCTGCCTGCCTCTACCTCCTGAGTGCTGGGATTAAAGGTGTACACCACCACTGCCTGGCCCATTTTTCTGTTTTTAAGACAGGGTTTTCTGAAGCCCAGTTGGTCTCAAAGTTACTATGTCATGATTCAAAACTAATAGAGTGTGTGTGTGTGTGTGTGTGTGTGTGTGTGTGTGAGAGAGAGAGAGAGAGAGAGAGAGAGAGAGAGAGGGAGAGAGAGAGAGAGACAGAAATTGATTTATTAGGAAGGCTAGCAAGTCCCCAACAATGACTGTCAACAGCTGGATGTCTCAGCTGGCCTTCAATATACACCAGAATTCCAAAGAAATTGGTTCTAGTGGCAGTGGAGGAATGTACTTGCCAGAAGAGGGACAGTAAGCAGGCAAAGAGCAAGCTTCCATCTTCTTGTTCTTTACAGAGACTGTCAGCAGAAGGTGTATCCTAGATTCACGAAGTAGGCAGAGACAGGTAGATCTTTGTGAGTTCGAGGCCAGCCTGCTCTATAGAGCGAGTTCTAGGAAAGAGCTACTCAGAGAAACCCTGTCTCAAAAAACCAAAAAGAAAGACAAAAAATTCTCCACAGGTGTACCTAGCCTCTTGGTTTTTAGTTAATTCTAGGTGTAATCAAGTTCACAACCAAGAAGAGCCACTGTTCCTCCTGAATTCATCTCCCAAATGCTGTGATTATAGTGTATGTGCCACTGTTCCTGGCTTAAAATTTCATCAAG